GACTGCGGGTCCATCTCAGAGGGCGTCCCTCTCCTGGGCTGTGAGTGACATGGACTGAGCAACACCCTAGGTGCTTGCAGGAATTAATGCAGTTTTCCAATTTGTTTGTCTCAAATACAGTGGAGTGAGTCCCTGAAATACAAGGCACCTGGGACCTACCGCGATTGAGAACTGTGGTTGGCACCTTATGTTTACACCACCCATGCCGTGAACAAGGCCCTTTACCCAGCGCGGGCCCGGGCTGCGCCCAAGCGATGTGCCCGCCCCATGAGCTGCGGTCCACACAACCGGCACAGCGCCTACCTCCTGTGTCTGGGGTCTCAGGGAGTGCAGCGAGGAGTCCGGTGCAGGCCTGGACGTGACTGGCGCTCAGGCAGTGTCGGGGCTTCTGAAGCTGGGGCCGTTCTTATCTTGTTATTATTATTACTTTTACCAGGCCCACAGAAATGCCAAGCACAGGACGGGAAACTCAGTGTGACCAAGAGCGAGCCTTTCCGCCGACCCCTGGCCCAGGCGGCCATGGCTCTGCCCCTGCCTTCCCTCCATCTGGCTCTGGCTTCTCCTGGACGCGTGCCTGGTGCTGCCCTGTTCTCTCCCACACATGCAGGCCTCTGTGACTCCACTGGCCTCAGTTTCTCCACTCCGAGGCCTGGCTCCTGTGGCCTGCAAGGGAGAGAGATACCAGCTCTGATGCCACAATCTGGAAATCACCCTCACCTTATCTGCCATCGGGAAGCTACTGACGTTTCAAAGCCAAAGGTGTGGCGTGGCTGGAGTTTTAGCAGCTGGGTACAGCTGCAGAAAACAGCCCTCGCAGACTGAACTCAGCAAGTGCCTGGAGATGCGTCTTTTCTCTGATTTGTCCAGCCTGCTGTTGGCTTCAGTCACACGCCGTGTTTCAATTACTGGGTTCCACATGACAGTCGGATATTTTACCATGATGGGTCAGCCTCTCCTTGCGAGGAAGAAGTGTTAAATTTGGAAATCCAGAGCTGTTTGATCTTCAGATGATATCCGTGACATAAAATAGAATATTTACAGCCTAGTACTCCACGGCAGTGCCAACTTTCA